AAGCTAGAGCGCGCTGTGCATTACTTTTGGGACAACCCTCGTACAATCGACTGGGGAATCGTGTTCCGATAGCGAGCGATTAAACGACAATCGATATATATATATATATTTTTTTTTTTTGAAATTTCCCACAACTAGTATCCGGACGAAATTTTCGTTTTGTTTTCGAAAAATCGAATGCGGCCGCCTCGGACCGTATTATGCCCGAACGTACACAAAACCGACGAAACGCGATCGTTTCGCGGTTTACGGACGTTGACAAAAAAACAAAAAAATCCCACGATATCCGGCGACAATAATGGTATATTAAGTAAACAATGGGCATACACGGGTGTATCGTAGTACGCGGACGGTTACAGTGTGACCAACGGCGCGACGACGGTTAGTGCGACCACCACCTGCGCGGACCTTAACCTTGGCGTGCGTAAATGTTGCGGTAGGTCGAAAGTGTGAAAAATCACACGCACGCGCGCACGCCGCGCCGACACACACACGACCCGTTTAATCCGGTTCTATACGCGTTTACACCGGAGGCGAAAATACTGCACACGCACACGCGCGCGCGCAAGAGCTTTACCATATGAATATAATTTATAACATATACTGTACCGTATTATGTATTCGCATATTATAATATTATAATAATAATATGTTGAATAACGTTTTACGAACGTTTACGCAGAAAAATACCATTTTCTCTCTTTCTCTCTCTCTCTCTTAAAACCGACAACGTGAATCACGTACGTATATCCGAAGTAGTATGGTAAGTCATACACGGCGACGGCGTATACGTGACGAACGAAGAAATCATTATGCTATTACGTTAATACCATTGCCATAAACGGCCGATATAGACGAATGACAGTGACGTCACGCGCGCAATAATTTCCGACGGACGCGTAACCGATTCCCGAGAGCAGCGTGCCGGCGCGGCGCACGAAAAAAACTGGCCGCGTGTACAGAGTAAACCCTGCACGGGGGTAGTGCCCGATCGAAACTCGGAACACGACCACTGTAGGGATTGTACGGAATTAATTCCCGGGTAAAAATAAAAAAAAGTACTAATCGGTTCTCGGGGGAAATTTTCGGGTCATTTTCGAACCGTTAAAACTCGGTAAACTCGTTTTCAAAATTAAAATTTCCACCAAACTCAGCAGTTTTCCGCCTTTTTGGGGGGGGGGGGGTTAAAGACTGCAAAGGTTTTTATATCGTAGGTTTTCTAGACAGTCCTAAGTCTCGAGTAGCATAATACCAATAGATTACCCGGGAACGGATTAGGCAAACATGGTAGGGGTCTGTAAAAAGTGCAATGGCCCAAGGGGGGACGAGCGTTTAAAGGGGGTGCCATAATCTTTTTTGACGTGATCAGATTTTTTCCCGCAGTATGACCTTATTAGAGGAACAGCGGCGCCAAAAATGCGTCATAAAGTCGATACCGAGTAATAGTCGCACCGTTGTCGGCGAGCAGTTGGGAAAGTACCGGATATACGGGGCGATTTAATTCGTAATACACTGTACGCTATGAGAAATCATTGGTAAACGAAAAAAAAAAAAAACGATTCTGGACGGAGTAGTATTAGTCTTTATTTTTACTCCGAAGTCAGAGTAAACCAGAAACCGACGCGTCGGACACTTGTTTTTTCGTAAATCGTGTAGAAAACCTATTGGGAATTTATAAATGTATTGTATTCGCGCATACAGTACTGTCGGTCACAAATGCCGCACGTTTTGCGGTAGACACTGCGCGGAAAATATCAAGCTCGACTTGGCCGGTGTCACGGGGCGACGTTTTTGTCATCTCCGTCTTTCTCTGTCTCTACATACGAGGTTATTAAATAACGAGACTACTCGCCTAGAGGGCGCCCTAGATGGGTAGTGAAAGAAACGAGTAATGCGTTGGGTATCTAGATATCTTATCTATGCACGTACTAAAATACGTTTTCATCGCTATTATCATATTCTCTATCTCGTGCACGTGTTTTTGAGTGGTATAAGCGCTTCAGTGAGGGCTGAGAGAGCACTGAAGATGACTAGCGTCCAGGTCGCCCTGTCATTGTTTCAACTCCGGAAACAGTGACCAAAATCAACCAACTTGTGCGTGCAGATCGTTGAATGAACATCCGGATGATTTCCGAGGCTGTAAACGCCGATAAAGCAACGGTTAGAAAAATTTTACATGAGAAATTACATATGACAAAAGTCTGTGCGAAGTTGGTGCCAAAAAACCTGACTCCTGACCAAAAGTTCTTGCGTCAACAAGTCTGCTCAGATTTTCTTGAAAAGTTAAAAGAAGATCCCGGACTGATGAAAAACATTATAACATGGGACGAAACATGGATTTTTCAATACGATGTTGAAACAAAGCGACAATCGATGCATTGGAAGACACCTGAATCGCCCAAAATCAAAAAAAGCAAGGATGTCCAAATCAAAATTTAAGGCAATGTTGATCGTTTTTTTTTACATTAACGGTATCGTGATGACTGAATGGGTTAAATGGGAAACGGCAGAGCTCCTAAAGGCCCTCACCAAAGAAGATTTCCAGCACTGCTTTGATCAATGGAAAAAACGTATGGAAAGGTGTGTGGCGAGGGGAGGGGAGTACATTGAAGGGGAGCATTTGAATGTAGAATAATTTTTATAATAAAACACTTTTTCGTAACCAGTCTCTTTATTTAATAGCCATACCTCGTATATAACGGCGGTCGAATCGGTGGAAAAAATATCGAGAACGGAATCGTCGACAAAAAAAAAAAATAAAAAAATCAACAACATTCCTCGTTAATACGATATAATATTATAATAATTATTGTTTTCGTTTTTCTTTTGTCCGACCTCGGCGCCGCGGCCTTATTAACGGCGGAGAATAACATTTAAAAAACCGTCGCGACCAGAAACCGACAATACGTTAACGAACGAAACGAGAAAACGAGCACGCGGGTCTCCCGTCTTTTGTCGGCGGGTGCCCGAGCACCTGGCGGCGACCGCCCGGTATACCTCGCCAGTCACCTGCTCACCGCCGCCGTCTTTTGTGGCCCGCGCAACCGGTGAAAGGCGACGCGAACTTCGAAAATCGGTCTCAGGGCGTCGGCCGCGCGCTCGCTTCATTATTACGGGGGGTGGGAGGGGAGGGGGAAATCGCGAACGCGCGTAATATGTGTAAATACGTAATATGTGTATCGGGGAAAAAAAAAAAAACATCGAATTTAGGTCGGTCCGCACACGGCGGCGCGTCCCGATTACCGCCCGAAGCTCGCGTTTCGAAACCGTATAATACGCATGCACATATAATACACCCCTACTATAATTTTTATATTATAATAATATATATGGATATGTATACGTATATGTATAAACGTATACGCGTACGTACATAATAACAATAATAACGATACGTATACGCGTATGCGTCGCGTTCAAAACGCGTAAAAAAAGAGAGGGACGCACGCACCGGGTTATCACGCACCGTGGACGGCGCGGGGGGAGAAAGTGTTATTATTGTTACGGGCGTTGTTTGTACGCTGCGTAGGTACTGCTCGGTCGCGGAATGGGGTCCGGATCCGGTCCGGCGTAATGTTATTATTTCGTTACACAACGGCGGCGACGACGGCCTAACTCTGCGCACACGCGACCGCGTGCTTTATTATTTAAACAGAATTGTTTTTTTATAAAGCGTACGTCCGTTTTGAGTGGGGGGGGGGGGGGGGGCGGGAAAAAAAAAACATCGTTGGCCGTCTCGAAAACCGAAATACCGCGGCGAACGATAATAAATACGCGCACACCCCCCGTTACAGAATCGGGGTGGGGCGGTTTTAAGCGAGAGTCCAGAGTGGGAGGGGAGAATATATTTCGTACATTATTATAGAGCACACGCGCACGACCCGCTTCGCTTCTCCCAGTTTTTTCTCGGGGACGCGGTAATTAATTTCGGTGGACCGTCGTCCAGTTGCGACCGTACGTCACTCGTACGTCGGAGGGGGAGGCATTCGCCCATCGCCCACTTCCCACCCCCTCCTATAACCGCCGGCGGGTAGAACGCACGGTCGCCTTTTATCCCCCCCCCCTCCAGAACGCGACGTTTTCGCGGTGACACACTGCGTAACATACGCATCGGAGGGGCGGATACGACGAAACGCCGACGGCGACAACGGCACGGCCCCGCTCGCCGCGCCGCGCCGATCTTACGGACGCGCGAAAATTTGGGTCACTGGGGCGAATCGGGCGTATGATTGTTTTCGTTTTTCGCGTACGAAAAGACGACCGTCGTCGTAGCGCGCGCGTCCTCGTCGCCGCGTATGTCAAGGTCCGCGCGAAGGAAAACCGCGCGAAATACTCTGCGCGCGCGCCGGGTCTCTCCGCTCGTGCCCGCCACCGCGCCGACCGCGAGACGGAACGGACGCGGCGAATCGCGTCCCGAACGGTCCACGCGGCGGTCGTCGTCGCGAGGACACGCCGCCGACGGAAATCGGGAAAACCGTCCCGAGGCCGCGGCGATAACGTTACGCGGTCTGTGCCGAATAGAAATCCCACGCGCCGCAGCGGGTAGGCGGCGCGCGTTTTCGGGTTTGCGCGCGAAACGCTCGCGCGCCGCACAGACCGCGGCCCGAGTTGCCCAACTGTGCAGCGCGAACGAATATACGCGCACCCGCAACCTTCACTGGATGACCCATTGGCACAGATAAGTTTCGCGAGCGCGCGCGCGCGGTATTATGCGCCGGCGCGCGAACAAATAATATAACATAACGATAGTAATAATAATAAACGATACGATAATAAGAGGCGCGCGATCGCACTACTTTCTAACGAATAATACGCCGCCGTTGGTCGTTGTTGTAAGAGTACCGCGGGTACATATTGTACGACGCGTAACCGCCTCCGGTTACGACGTGCGTGCGATAATATTACGACGATGTTGTTGTCGTCGTGTTCGCGCGCCGTGACGAGCGCGCATTTTCCCCGCTCGCCTCCCCCCCACCCCTCCTAACCTCGTATACGCGCGTCGAGAAACACGCGTCGTCGACCGCGATACCACTACAATATATTGTGGTCGCCGAGACGCGCGGACCAAAAGGCGACGGCTGAGCGGGCGGCGGGGGAAAGAAAAACGAAAATCGGAAGAAAACACAAAAAAAAAAACAACGAGATTTCCGCAGAACCGCCGACCGAACCGTGAAGGTCATCGCGAAAACACGCGCGCTCTCGGAGCGATCGACCGCCACGGGCAACTAGTGGGAAATCGCGTATTAGTCACGCGAAGCGACGCGCAAGGTCTTCGGCCGGAAAAGCGCCGCCGCAGCCGCCGCCGCGTCCTCCTCGCGCGCACGGCTCGTCGCCCGGCGACTTTTCCTTTCGTAAACACGCGACTACCCTTGGCCGCGCCATGCTATTCTTCGGCCTTCGCGGGACCGCCGCCGCGTAATCGCATCCGTCTCGTCTGTTCGCCGTACGCGGTTACCGTTGTTGTTTTTATTTATCGTCCGCGGTTTTGAATTTTTCCCGCGTACACTGTCAAACAATCAACAATACCCACATAATATTAAGACCGCGGGCACGGGCCCAGAAAGGTCTGTAAATACAGTGCTACTACTTAACCATTCGGAATTTGCAGGTACAATTGTTTACACTGTGAAACGTTATCAATAGCACAAATTGTTGAGCTATATAGACTTTTGAAGTTGAAATTCAATAATTGAACAATATATAGGTACATAATATTGCCTTTAATGATCGCAAAACATTTTGTCGCCTCTAACTGGCCAACCTGTAAATATAATACATTTTGCGCCTCACTTTCCCGAGACATTAGCCTCTTCATGGGTACTGCATGGCGCGTTTCGGGTTTAAGTCGACCAGTCGTGATTACAGTAAAAAATTCAATCGTATTGTTATTTATTTACAAAAAAAAAAAAAAAAATTCCTATATCCGGCTCGCTGAATAGACGGTAAACTAAAACTCCGGTTCTCAAAGCAACACACAGAGGAAACGGTCGGCGACGTTTACATGTATAAGACCGTTGTTTTTTTGTTTTTTTAATTTTAATTACGCGAAAAAATAAATAATGTGGAATTAATTTATTTCGCGTGTATATACAATAAAAACCGCGTTTTCGTACGCGCACGACGACGATTTCGAAATTTGAAACACACGCGAAAATTAATGCGATATTACGCGATTCATATTACGCGCGCCAGGGAGATTTGGGTCGTCCGAGAGAACGCACGCGCGAGTTGCGAAAACGATCACATATTTTTTTTTTTTTACCACTCAACTTCTACTGCGAGACGACGGTCGTCGGGCGTAACAGTGTAAAATATACACACAAACGTACTATGCGAATCGTCTACGTTTCGTGACAATCCACACAAATGTCTAATTATTTAATTCTTTTTTTTTTTTTTTCGTAAATCGTCACATCGATATATTATTATACTCTCCCCGCACCCATGGACGTACGAAATCGCGTCGTCAAAGGTGACATTGTTCGCATAACTATATTATAAACGACGACGGTTAAGAACTCATTTGGAAATACTCAGCCGTATAAGGTTTAAAACCGCTCCCGATTGCGAGTAGCGTTCGTGTTCTAATAGCCAATCGCGAATAATATCATCGATTGATTCAAGGTCGCCACGGGTGCGGATTTTTAAAATCCTCCGACTTTTCCGGCACGATTTTTATACGTTTTCCCGTACCCGTACAAAAACGATAATATTCCGATCGATATTTTTTAATATAATACGATATTTTGCGTGGGAATCGCGAACGGGAAAAGACGCTCCGACTATGTAGGGTTTCGTATCGCCGAGTCTAGTCACTTTTTACGGCGCAAAAAAACCATGAAAATAATGTTATTGTTCCTCGCGACAATAAATGATCGATTTTTATCGCACGCACTCGTTTTTCCCTAAACTCGATTTCCGGTCGGAATACGCGTGTTTTTTTGGTTGGAGGAGGGGAAAGTCCCGCCGACGATTTCCTGACTCGTCGACCGCCGACGGGTCCGACGTAGACACCGGAAAACGTGAATTCAATTTAAAACGAAAACAGCAACGATAATAACTGTCCCCCGAGCGAATGTTACTACTATCGAGTCTCGGCGAAAGCGGGGTGTGGGCGGGGGTAAGGAGAAGGGGAGGGGATGCGGTGATATCATTTTCTCGGACGCACACGTCGCGCGCGAAAAACGGGGTCACACTCCGATATTTTTATACGACGCCGAGGCGAAACAATGACGTAATACGACGCGAAATTATACGTTTTTTTCTGTCGTACACGTCTCGGGGAAAAAAAAAAACACGCGCGCACAAATCGTCGGACTTTATTTCCCCCCGTCGCGCGTAACGAGGGGCGAGAACCCTACGGATTTCGTTGAATTTTTTTTCGTCTGTTTCGCGCGCGCTCTTAGACGGCAGGTGGTCGAACGACAACGTCGCGTCGAGGCAGTCGACGCACGAGCGCCGCAAAACGACGGCGACCACGATAAAAAAAAAAAAAAAAACGATACGGACATGGGCGCGCACGATAGTTGGGCCACTGCTATTGTAGGTGAGAAGTTGAGAACACAGAGGGAAAATTTGTATGTAAATCTGTACGCAAAGATTAACCGTTGTTAACGAAAAACGATTCTGAGCGGAGTTCGGTTGATAGCGTTGCTTTGTCAACAACACAAATAATGTCGTATTGCGGTAAAATGATTACGACAATGTGCGTTTCCACGGCAACAACGGTTGTTTAAAATATATTTAAAATAATAAAAACTATGAATAATAACGAAAAATAAATTTAAAAGTATCGTCAATGACAAACCTATTTTCGAAAATCGATGAGGATTTCAAAAAAAAGATTTCTCTCTCTCCAGAGTACCGCCCGGAGAACGTTTTCCGTATTTTTCGGTTAACGAGCCTCTTTTTCGGCGCGGGCGGCGCGTTGCGCGTTATTTTCGGCGTTATCGTCGAGCGCGGGTAAAACCCATTTTTTCATTCGCCACTGTTGGGATAACGTTTTACCGCGGACGGGGCTAACCCCCAGCGGTCAGCGGACGCCCCGGTCGAAAACAAAAGTGGTCCCGCCGCGCGGCTCGTTGTTTACACTACGCAGCCGCGCCGATGACGGACGGCGACAGCGGACGTAATGATATTCCGTCGTATCGCCGTCTCGTTGTTATCGCGTACGCGGTCCGGGCGCCGAGGACGCGCCGTCGACGAGAGTAGTCCGATCGAGAGACACGAGAGAGAGAGAGAGAGAGAGAGAGAGACAGACAGACGGTGAGAGAGAGTGGTAGCGAGGGAGAGGAAAACGGATCGATCGTCACGCGATTTATCGATTCTTCCAACAACGTACGCGCGCGCCGTCGTAATTATTCTGTGTTGTTGTTTGAAACGTCGTCGGCGCGTAGAAGTGACGAGACGACGCGGTCGAACGACGATGAGTCATCCGTGATGTTCGACGTGAACACACGACACGCCGCATTCGAGTGCGGCCGGCGGGCACGAATTTTGGTTGACGTTGGTTCGACGCGGCCCGTTGTCACGCTCGGAGACGAGAAGACGTTTTGCCCCTACACACGTCCCTTCCATCGATATGTTTAACCTTTCGAACGGGCCGCAAACGCGTTAGAATTAACCGCGGTAACCGATGAAATTACATTTTTTTAGTAGAGAACCGATAGGCTCCATTCTGGTAACCACGGTTTATGACAAAGGCAGGTTAGGACGACGAGGTGACCGTCGGACTGAATCCGTCCATCAGCTGAATCGATGTCTGGAGGAACTGATCGCGGGCGCGCCAAGCGAACAAATTATTTTCTCCTATAATCTATAATATGTAGGCAATATAATCGATATACCGGCTATAGATAACGCGACTCGTATCCGCAGATAATATAAACTCTATCTACGTTTATGTATCTTTAATTCGTGACCGACAACGAGTTAAACAGATTTTGTTGGCGAATAGTTAACGAAATGTACACCGGGAGCGTCAGCAATTAGCTCTACGGTAGCTGACTGGGCTATTCGATATGGCGGTGACGAAAAAAAACAATCAATATTCTATCCAGTATCCTATGATGCCACGGTAATAACGTGTGCACCGGCAGTGGCGAAAAGAGATCGACCGACGTTCATATCCTCGGGCCGAGAATATTTTGAGGTTACGTTCGGGTTTTTTTTTCTTCTGTAAAACACGCGGGACTTTGGATTTTCCGAAACGCTCGCTCCGCACGAAGGGTACTACGGGATACTACGGGAGCATAGTGAGAAACGAAACGGTCGTCGAACGACAACACTCGCGATTGCAAAACGTAACCCCCGTTGGTTGGCCGCAACGTTCGCGCGTACATGGCGGGCGTACAACGGGTCGGGTACGCCGTTTCGGCGTTCCGTATCGGCCGATGTTTCGACATTCCGTAGCCCGAACCGTCGAGACACAGATGGCCGCGACTGTTACGAGTACCCCGGGAGACTGATGACGAGAGAGAGAGACAGAGAGAGAAACGAAACGACAAAAAAAAAAAAAAAAAAGGAATACGGACACGGACTATCCGTTTCTTTATTATCCGTACGCGGTTGTCAGCGCCGAACGACGCAAACGTTTCGCACGTGACGGCGCACGCGGGCGTGGCTTCGTCCCCGTAAGGAAAACAACAACAATTGCGCGTCGTCGGCTTCGGCGGACGGGTCGGTTAAAAAGCATTGTCGTTGTTCGCGGATAAAAGAGACATTAGACAATTCTGCCAAAAAAACGGTTCGTTTATGGCCACTTGCGTTGCGTAAATGGCCGATTAATAATCTATAATTTCGTTTTCGTGACACGTCCAATGTAAAAATGTAAAAATGGGAATGTACCCAGTCCGCGTACAACAACCGTAATGTTATCATAGATAATTTTCCCGCGAAATGTACAACGAGCGCGGCGAGCGGAAAATTGTTTCGACTGACCGTTTCGCACGGGTACGAGCCGGTACAATAATTTATTCTTTTATCCGCGATTATTGTGAGCGCGCCGAGCCGCGACGACGAGTAATTATTTTAGCGCCAAAAGACGCGCCAAAAGTTTCCGACCGCGGGCAAAGAATTATCAATTGTATACCCGTGGAAAAACTCGTGCCACGACCGAACAAAAAACGACAACCCCCCCCCCACCCTCGGAGTTCGGTTTGCATCGAAACGCGATAATAACGTTCGCGTGTAATGTTCATAATGTAACCGCGAGCGCGAGACCGGTACGGTCCAACGCATTACGAACGACGGCGAGAAAAATTCGTAGGAAAAAAATAAAAAAAAACCGGGCCGAGGATCGCGCGCCGAACACCTGATAATATTATCATGCGGACGAAAAAATCGCGGAGTGCGCCGGCGCAGAGACGAACGCACTGCGCGAAACGTTGGGAAAACGTGTCGACTGTTGAGTCACACGCACAACACTAATGTTGTTCCGAAATTAATGAAATCGCCGTGTACGAGGCGGACCGGATAAAATATAATTATTGTGCGTGTTGTTGTACAATCGAAATCGAGCTGCAGTATGCCGTTGAAAAATCAAATCAAGGTATTGGGTTCGGAAATTTACAAAAAAAAAAAAACCAGAAAAAGTCAAAATAACAATACAGTCCGAGTAATGAAACCGTCGAGGACATCGAAATACACACGCGCGGTAGGTGGGATGGGGAGGGGGGGGGTTAATAGGTTCGTGATAAATACCCGTCCTATAAGACCGTAGACGTTTACGCGTCGGGAAAATGTAACGTGCCGATTAAACGTTAACCCTTCGTAAGTCGCGCGGGACAATAATATTGCCGTGTACCTACCAGGGCTGTTTTGTAAATTGAATTATACACCGTTAACGTTTGCAAAATATGTTAGTTCTTCTCCCCCCCCCCCATCCCATTCAACGGTAATTATTTTCGGGTTAGGTCTATTTATTTAAATCGGGTAACGCCCGTGTCCAGCGGGCTAAAATTGTGAATAATTGGAAAATATAAAAAATGTACAGATAAAGTTTTCGTTATTTTTCTTATCTGGAAGATAAGATTTTCTTATCTATATTTTGTTGCATGACCCATCATTTTTTTTGTTAATAAGTAGGCGAGTGTGTATTTTTTAGTACGCCGTCGTTCATTGCCATTTCGTATTGTATGGTTTTGTTAAATTATTAAAGTTCTAACTTATGTATTTAATTTTCAATATTTCCGTTTAATGGTGATTTCGCAGGTAAATTGCAGAGAATTTATTTAACTATCATTAGCTATATTCAGTTAATTACAAACGTATAGATAAATATACAAAACAAAAGTTAATGAGTTACATTTTGCTAGGCTTTATAATATATCTGGTGCCAACTGGTGTTTCAATTTACCGTAATAAGTAAATTAAAAAATTGTTCAATACAAATTCGTAATAAATGTTTGAATTGCGCCCTGGTTGCGCATTTTTCGTTTTAAATTTATACATTTTCGTTTCGTTTGTTTAATACGATATAGATCGGGTTATCAAAACACATGAACTGTTTAACGAATATTTAGCGTTATGAAAAGATTCCGATTATGTAAACCACCAACTTGTTAAATTTACTTTATCAAAAATTAAACACACAGAAGATATTTCAGTAGATTTTGAAAACGATTACAAGCTTAAGGTGCCAAACATTTTGTAATGCAGTATCTATTAGATGAAAAACCCGTAACAGACACAAAGATAGATTTGAAATTAAATATAGCGAGCGGTTAAAAAAAAAAAAATATTCGTATTGTCTCAACAATCGTTTGGCAAAGTGATTCCGAAACAGAAAATTCCTCTTATTCTCTGATACGATCATTCTACATCGGAATCACATAATTGACGATGCACAACAATTGATATTAAATAATATGCTGCCAAGTAGTTATTTGTAATCAATAGTTTGAAAATATAATTTTCTTTGTGTTATATAATGTGGATTTTATACGATTTTTATTGCGATTCGATTTTTTCTAATTTTTTTTTTTTTTTATTATAATTTCAGCCCGCCGTGCTACTGCTGGATAGGTGGTCTAACGTATTATCATGCACCACGCGCGACTGACCGTGCAACTCACCGAGAAGAGGTCACGAACACGACGGTTTGTAGTTACGCGAGGGTCTGCGGGATGGATGATTTCGAAAGTTAGGCGCACAATAAGTGCGGTGTCGTACCGGCCGCGTTGGTTTTTGTTTCGAGACGAGCGTTTTTTTTTTTTTTTTTTTCCGTCCGTCAGCTTCCCGTTCTCTATCATCGGATTGCTGGTTTTTTACGCGGAATAAACGGCGACAAATAAAGACGTAAATCGATCGGGCCGTTATTTTTTCGTCCCGTCCGGCAAATAACGGATAAAGAGCAGGTATTATTATTATAATACGACAAGACGATTTAATTTTTTTCTCTCTCTCTCTACGTTTTTAACCGCGGACAAAGAGCGGCTACGACGTTTTAGAAAAATTTAGCGGTCTCTCCCCCATCACTCCAACTCCTCCCCTATCGATCGTGCCGACCGCCCGACCGACGTTCACGAGAAACTCGAGAAACGGAGGGGAGGCTCGGCCGGGACAAAATAAAAACCACGGGGCACAAAATCGCCGCCGTCGTCGTCGCGGGTACGTCATGCTCGCGCGCAGACCGGATCGACGGCGCACGCACGCACGTTCGCGACTGTAACGAATAAACGTACAACATTTTTTTTTTTTATTTATTTTTTTTCCAAACGCGACTCTCCGCGCGCACGTATTCGTTATTCGAGTCGTCTGCCCACGACGACTGCGGGCCCCGGCGCAGACGTCCTCGGAACGGAGACGTATGTATACGTATATATACACGTATAATAAAAAAACAGAAAAAAAAAAAAGAAAAAACCGAACCCGAAAGGAACGTCGCCCCGTTTATTGTCGTCGCCAAAATCGCGTTTCCGGCGCGCGGCGGTCGGTCGGTGCGCGAAAGAAAGAACGACGACGACGACGCGGTTTTGTCGAAACCACGAGGCGAACGGCTACGACGACGGCGGAGAGCAACAGTTCGCAGACGGAGTATTATTGTTGTCGTCGTAAACGCGACGACGAGGACGAAACGGGTTTTGTTTTTTTTTTCTTTTCTTTTTTTTTTTTTAGGAACCCCTACACGTATTTTGGGAACGCCGGGTTCTCCGTGCAGACGCATCGCGTGCGCGACGCGTACGATGCCGCCGCCGCCGCCGCGACGACGATGCAAGGGGATCGATAAAACGAGACGGACAGAGAGAAACGACATTGCCGCCGAACATAAAAATAATAATAATAATAATAATAATCGAACACAACATGTGTGCGTGTGGTGTATGCCGTCATCGTCGCCGTACGCACACGCACGCACGTAGACGTGTCTCTAATAACAATAATAATAATAATCACGATCGTAAAAAAACAGAAAAAATAACAATAAAATAATCGCGGCGGCCCGAACGGAGACACGCCGCCGCTACCGGGGGAATAATCGGACGGTCGGGAAAGCCGTTTGCGGGACGTGCGATCTCGCCCGTGGCCGGACGGACGGTCATTTTCGGACTGCCGGGTTAAAAATGTTAAACAAGACCCCCTGCGCGAATAAAAAATACCGATGACCTTTCCCTACCACCCCCCCCTCACAATAGGACACCAGGTCCTATTGTCGTTTACTTGTGTTTCGGCACATTGTTTACACGGGGACTAACATCATACCCGGGTCCGCCGCGAATAAACCGATAGTTTCCGTTCCGCGGTGCCCGCAACTCGTCCAAGGTCAATTCGCCGAGGGAGGACTACCGGGAAATTCTCGGCCTCCCGGCGTCCTTATCGGCCCGTGATTTAATCGCGCGGCGCGATAACGCCCGAATAGTCGGCGGATAGGGGACGACGGTATTTTCATCGACAGCGGCGAAACGCGAGTTCATTTTCGTCGGGATAACAAAAGTCGCAATGGCGTCGGGGCGTAAACGCTACAGAAACGGGCCGTAGACACGTACGTGAAGTCGGCTCCCCTCCACCCTCCCAGTCATTGGCGTAGGCACCCCGAAACCGTGTCGATATTCAGCAACCTACTTGCAAAAAATTGCAACCTAATCATTCGTCGCCGAAATAGACATTTTAAAACCGGGGGAGGTGGACGACTTCGCGTAGCCCTTCCTCCTTGACCTTATCACATAGTGTTACGGGAAATATTTAACGACCTACTTGAAAAACTGTGCAACGTCGTTTTTCATGTGTTTTACAGTGTCCGCGGCCGCGGTAACACGACGGAATACGGTACCGAGATCTTTACGCCCGGACGTTACAATTACAAAGTTGGGCGCGCGTCAAAACGCCCGCGGCCAGAAAAAAAAAAAGGTCACCGGTAAAGGGAAATGCCGAAAACGGACGTGTAATCGGGTCTTTACGTATTTTTTTTTACTTGTTCGTTTTGCTCCCGTTGATTTTCGTAAACAAACCGGTCGGCGCGCGTTAGAACGTTGGATGCGCGTAACACACGAAAAGTCAACAGAAACCCAACGAGTGGGCGGTGGCGGCAGCGGCAGCGGAAGGAGCGAGGCAGCCCAATTAACGGAGAGTTTTCGAGACGGCGGCGCGCGGACGCACGACACCACCACGTGTGTGCGTGTGTGTGTGTGTGTGTGTGTGTGTACGACGGCGACGGCGCGGTGCGTGCGTCTATAAATATGGTTATGGATATAAAAAAAAAAAAATAAAAATAAAATATACTTGTAGATATTTAAGACAGAAAAAAAAAAAACCACCGAGCGTACCACCCGGTAGCCGTCGCTCCGCCGCCGGTACAGAGCTTGGCACCATCTGTGTTTTTCATTTATTTATTATTATTATTTTTTTTTTTTCTGCTGGCCCAAAAGAAGAATATGTGTTTGGATTAACTCTCCTGGCCGTATGTTTTTATCACGCGGCGATATTATACGCGCCGTGCGTGCGTTTTTCTCCGTTTCGCCCCTCCGGCGTCCCGGCCACGAGAAATATCCGTCGGGAGCGCGCGCACGCACGCGCGCACACACACGGCCCCGTAAACGTCGCTCTGTTTATTATATACACACGCATACGCACGCCCACACGCGGCCGTAACCGTCGAGGGGAAGCAGCCGCCTCAAGTCGCGCAAAGAGTTATCTGGGGAGAAAATAAAAAAACAACGTTTGTGCGCGCGTTTTCTTACTACCGCCGTTTTTTTCCCCCGAATCGCTTCGTGGAAAAAAAAAAAAAGGCCTTTACAGTCTCCCGAAAATCCGCAACGAGAGTGTCGGCCGTTACACGTCCCGTCGTTCCGGGGAGGGCGGACGTTATTATCGTTCGAAAACGTCATCCCCGCCGTGCGGGGCTCGGTGTATGACGCATTATTGCCGAACGATTCATAACGACGGATCGATTTTCGAACAGATATATTTAATAATAACAATAACAATAATAATAATAATGGCGTTATCCGTTTTACGTGTCACGTACGCGCGTCGGAGAGAATAACAAAAAAATCACAACAATACGGCGTGCAAGAGCGCACCGGAGCTCCTAGTGCTCTGAAAATCGGTTCCTCCGGGACTGGTACCAAGACAAACGCCGAAAGTATCACAGTTCGATTTTTCTTTTTTCTAATAAACTAGACCAGAAACTTTCTTCGGGAGGGGGAGAGAAGGGTGTAAATGCGAACACGCGTTAAAAAATATCGAAGAAAAAAACACCGGCTTTCAAAATGTATTATTAGACAATGTCGCACAACCAGAACGTTCGACGTTTGTAGCGAACCAACGAACGAAATACTGCCAATGTGACACGTTTACGACGTGACTGGTCGTCGGGTAAAAGTTCTGGTTGCGGACGACGTTTTCTAAGCGACTTTGTTCGGTCGAAACGCGTCCGAACACGGAGTATAGTAGGTAATGTTATGGAAAAAAAAAAAAAAAAAATAAAAAAAAAAATAATAAATACAACCGAACGTCGAGATGACCCTAACCTCTAG